TCTATATATAAAAATCTAATTTATATAAAATAGTTTTGTATATATAAAAATGTATAAATAAACCCCATGGTTTTAATTACTGAAGTATCCAAGGATTTGCTGCTTCTGAGCCTTTATCTTCTGTATCTCGGTCAAACCTCATAAGGCTGCATTTGAAATCACACTGCACTAAGAAAACAAATGATTAAAGCAGAGCAAGGGAGTCAGGGGATTAGTTTATTCTGCATGGCCTTGAGCAAGTCATTTTTAGCTCTGAGGCCCTAATCTTATAGTGAGCCTGAGGCAGATGAAACACTTGAACACCCACACAAAGCACACGTAGTTTTTCCTCATCTGAAAAATGGGGATAACAACACACAACTCTCTCCAAGAAGCATCTTAATCATTAATCTGCATTAAATCCTTGGAAATGTGAAGTTTTAAAATTATTAAGTACCAAACCAAATTAATATTTTGCAAAGCCATCAGAGTCCATAAAGTAGAATGAGAACACAAGCACCCATTGTAGTCAGCTCACAGTCATCACTGGAAAAATCTAACACTAGGAAGCTGTAATAGTCTCTCCCCCTCCTAACAACCAGCTGTAACTACAAATAGAATACAAAAGATGAGAGACTAAATGAATTAGTCCTGAACTACATCCTCTATCTTATTAAATGCAGGAAGTCTACACAGAGCAGTTTCAAAGGGATTAATGAAGGAGAAAAGCAAGCTCCAGGATCTCAGTCATTGAATTGACCAGCCTTCAAACAAAAGCTATCCCTTTTGCAAATAAAGGAACAAATGTTGCAGCTGCCACGACTTAGAAAACACCCTTAAAATTAAATGCAAGACTTGTCCTTCATTTAGGACAAGTGTCATGACAATTTCACTGTCCCAAAAGTATTATTCATTCTGTTTAGCATAAGACACTTTGCTGCCTGCCTGTTTTCTACAGTAGGTGCAGATCCATATTAGTCTTACTAGCTATTGTCACTTTTTGTACTAGTTTTCCATTTTAGTGCACGTATGTATGGTGTATCTTATAACATTGCAAGCATTTTATTTGCCCATGAGACAACTGCATTGCAAGTCCTTATTAGAAGTAAACATGATCTGAAAATGCACTAGAAATTTATAAGTGGATTCTCAGCACCCTCTTGCGGATTTGTGGTGTGATAACCACGGAGTTTTAGTAAAACCTGCATTACAATTCAGAGCTACAGAAAAGTTATTATTTTTTGCAGCAAAACTACAATAGGGAAGTTAAATATGAATGGCAAAAAACTTTGTAGCTTATTATTATTTTTAATACTTGAATAAAACCTGCATCTTTAGTGCAAGCTCTGCCAGTCAGCACTGTCTCTTATGCAAGATACGTAACTATAATATGATTAGTTCAGTGGTGGCAGGGGGTCTTGTTTCTATTAAGACATGCATCTATGCCTGCAGGCCTAGTCTGGATCAAAGCTGCTGTCATTTAGAAAAAAAACTGCCTGTGGTGGCCCCACAGAATAAGTTCCTTCCAAGAGAAAACAGGATCCTTGCTCTGCTTATTAAGATGCCAGTAGCCAGAAGCGCAATGCTTCTGTCAGGTCTGGGGACAAACAGGAGTCTGAATGCTGCTACTGGGTAGATGTGTTTTTCTGATAAAGTGGCCTTCCTCCCCCATGTGTGTGCTTGCAGTAAAATACCCTGTGGAAGAGGACAGAGACGGAAGTACTTTTTGTTTTATTTTTGCATACATATATAAGGAATAGCCAGTATCTCCCTATAAGTAGCTGTTGTCCACATGATTTACAGATCACACTAGGTTTTTAAGTCCAACACAACCAATTCACAGAAGCCAAAGACCTATACACACACTAAATACTCCTAATTACATGTGAACAAATCTCCCCAAGTCACCCAGATTTGTATCAACACAGTTTTGTATGTACCAGAATTTAATGAGGTGTGACTTAGAAAACCATACACGTGGTTAAGGGTGTCTTCAACATAACAACTTCTAACGTATTTTAACCAAATCCTCAAAGCAGCTTCAGTGCCTGTCTAAATACATAAGCATAACCAGCAAGCATTAGCAATGTTCATCACATTCACAGTGAATTAAAGCATGCACAAGGCTTCCTGAGCACATCCATCAGATTCTGTTCCTCTACGGAAACCACAGGTGCTAAAATATGCCCAGCATTCCAGCTTTCCAGTCTTTTTATTTATTTGGACAGCAGCAATACCACTCCAAGCATATTGATATTTTAAGATGTTTTTCCTCACACACAGATAATATAATTCATATTAACTGCCACAGTTCAGTTCTGGAAGCATGGTTCTGCAGATAAGCTAGCTACTACATCTATCCTTCGCTCTTAACGTTCACTACACCCACCTCTGAGATCCTCAGGAGTCCCAAGTCTCATAATACCAAAATGGTTTAAAAAGGATACTTTCCAGTCAGCTATGCCCAGGTATCTTCACCAGATATAATACTAATAACAAAATACAAATTCCCATAAATGTAGATTTCTTCCCTTTGGCATTTTAGCAAATTTACTTGCTTCATTTTTTCTTAGGAAGTATGATTCAGGTACATGCGTATACAGTCACCTTTGAGAAGGTTAACACTACACATCAGAATACTGTAAATTCAGTTGTGGTTTTAGTCTATCTTACTTTTCTTTTTCAAACATATAATTCCTAATATATTGCTGTTAGTTCTATGTTCCCTTTGGGACACTTTATGCTTCTGTTAGATCCAGAATCATTTGTGCAGTTAAATGCAAAGCACCTTCAGAAGTTATTCCTACTGCAGAATAAGAACAGCAGCTCGTGCTTTCTGTCTTAGGCCACGAGCAAACACAGGAGGCAGCATCTAAGTTTTTTTCTGCTGTGTTATCTCCTCCAGAAGAGAAACTATACAACGCAAACTTTACACATTCAGACTCACACAACTGTCTCTGTGCCTTTTTTTTTTTTTTTTTTTTTAAGTAAAGGGCCCAGCCTTTACCATTTAAAAGGCTTGGCCATATTATTGTTCTCTTTACAATTGCACAGCTTATTCCCAACTTAAACACATTTGTGTCACCATACTTTCTGCAGGCTAGGAACAATGTATCAAAATTAGAAACAATTGTTTCTAATGAATAGCAACCTATATATTCCAGCAAAGTTTGTAAAAACGAGGGTCTGAAGTTAAGCACCTTAAAAGTAGAGTTTTGAAAAGTGAAATCCACAGATCTCAGGAGGAGCTGCAGGGTTCTAGGGTTCTGTTCTAGTGAAAAATATTACTCATGTATTTATTTCATTGCTTCCTTACATCTCTTCAGTGTTAAGACCTTGGTGAGGAGTATAATTCTGAAAAATTCAGGAATACTTCATATGGTTTCCAGGTCTATAAATATGATCACACTCCTAGGAAGAGGAAAAATTCCTACTCACCAGAAGGCTATATCACAGTGACCAGGAAAGCAGAGTAGGCTCCTGATCCCTCATGGCTTCTTTATGGCATTCTTTTCACTCTGCTGAAGTTGCTGCTCAGAGGAAATAGAGCTTTGGTAAGCAGAGTTATCCCTGCAGCTGGCTGACATGATTTAGGACAAGCAGTACATTGATTTTCTATTTCCCTTAATAGGTCACACATACAAAATGGATACACCAATTGATTTTCATCTAAAACAGAATTAATTGCATGCACGTGTTCACACACTACACTTTCTGCCAACACGATTTGGAATGCAACCAAGAAAACCTCAGTTGTGGACATATGCTATTGCAGAACAACATACAACTTAGCTGAACTGGCAGATATTATTTAGACCTCTGACAGAATGGGTGTAAGGCCGCATTTTTGATCATATAATGCATATTAAGTATCTCTTACAGATTTGCGAGTTTTCTCAACTATGGCTCTCTTTTCTTTTGTTTCTGGTCAGACTACCATCTGTCACTTACAATTAACCTGAACGCATACATTTTCTAATTTCCAGTTACATCTTTCCAGACTTGGGTCACTGTTTGGCAAACATCTCTTCAGAAATGCAGCATCTCAGACTCCAGAACATCAGTGCATCACACTTCAGTTCACTGACCATTTCACTTTAGTATTAGCCACAACTTACACAAGTCTGCAAGCAGCTAAAATGTTTCCTTCTCCCTATTAAGTGTACTAATATATACACGTAGCTTGACCTGGAATTTCTTTTTGTGCACTCTGAAAATTATTTCCCATTTACAGTGCCAAGAGCAAAGCCCAGAAATAGACCGACCAGTTTAACTCACTTTTATCTACTGTTGGTGTGAGGTTTAGTGTCTTCATCCACTGGTATGACATGCAGTAACCAGCAAGTCAACTGTTTTGTATTCCTATACTATTATTCAAAACCCCCAAATACCCACAGTTTCACACTGAAACTGATGATAACAAGTATGTGTATGTACACAATAAACCCTGTCAGGAATACTTGTCCTTAAGAAAAGGTTCCTCTCCACCTTCCCAACTATATATTTTGAAAACAAAACTAAAAAGGTTTAATGTATATTTCAGAACAGTCAGTTTGTTCTCTGAGCACAATAAAAAAAAAAATCCCTCTGCCGTATAAAAAAATACCATGTAAGTTTATTATAATTTAGAAACATAAGTAAAATGAAAGTATTTTATAAAAGCTTAAAATCCATGGCAATCTCTCCTGTCTTTGTGTTGAAATTTATAGCATACGTGACAGCACTATGAAGGTCTGACAGAGCTTCTGATTCAATAACAGAACTGAAGAAATAGACAGCTTGCTTGCAGTGGGGATTCCATTCACAGTTTCCCTGCAGGAGAGAGTTAAAAGTGAAAGCAGTCAAAACCGTACAATATTACTACTAGATAGTAAGAATGCAGTAAGATTGGAAAAGTTCTTCTTCCCAGTTCAGTATACAACGACCAGATAGTTATCACTTCCATTGCCATCCATTCCACTATAGAAATGCATAACTTGAAAAATCATATGCTACACTGCACAGTTAGGTCGTAAAGGAAAAAATGGATTTGGTCAAAGGACATTTACATAGAATACAGAAAATACTCCTTCCCCTCAAAATTTTTGCTTTTGTTAAACTGAGAAAAGGGATTTGTATTAATAAATCCTACTTTGAGCTAGCATCATATTTAAGTTCTGAGTGTGGTTCACAACTATGGTAGAATTTGGATCCAGTTCAGACTCTCCCATTTTAAGATACATCTCCTGCTCCCCTCAAAAACATGAACAGATAGTTCTACTATTTCTGTCTACATAGTATTCACTGGAACAAAGAGCATTGCATCAACCAAGCACAGCCAACAGAGACCCATTTTTCAGCACTGTAATCCTATAGACTTGGACATAATAAATGAGACTAAAGAAATACCTTTTCATTTGAAATTTGCATCAGTCCTGTACTAATGGAGATATCAGCAACAAGATGATATTCCATCCACAAAACTGCTCCATGGCTCTTTCCTTTCCTGGGGAGAGGTGGAGGATCAAAACCTGTTAAGTTATGCAACACTGACAGCTTAAACGCTGCACCTGTTCCTCACATAGTTTAAGTGAGAGCTGTAAAAGCATGAATAACTTGTTTCTTTGAAAAAAAGTTTTACAGCTGGATGATTTGGTAAATGAGTAGCAACTTTTAAAGTATTTGCAGATATGAAATCTAAAAAAGACAAGGAAGAGGACAGTATATCATAACTAAATCTGCTCAGAACCAGTGTCATTTAACAGGCATGAATTATATGGCTTATTTGGAGAGTACTTCCTTCAGACACCCCAGTTTCTATTGTTTCTGAATTTTTAAGGAAATGTTTACCACACATACAATCTTCAAGTGTCTGCTCCACAGGGAGCAGAGGTTATGCTAGCATGCTGCCTGTAAATACAACTGGTGCAAAGGCACTGAGGCCCCACGCAGATGGTTCTGGATTTTGTGAAACTTGAATTTTGTTTTACAAAGAGAAACATACAGTTACAGCAGTGTTTGAGTTACATAAGCTCTAGATGGTTAAAAATAACTTTCCCTTGTTTTTTAAAATTCTTAACAGCATTGCAGGTCTGAACAGAATCAAGTACAACCTGTAGTTAGATTATAGTGAAAAATACCTCAGAAGACATGACAAATATCAAGATTGTTAGAATTATAGTTAAAAGAAAGAAAAGCATACACTTTAAAGCTATTAAACAGAATAATTTGGAAAGCTAAATAGAAGAAAATTCTATTTTCTGACAGAACTCAGCAGCAGGGAACAAACAGAAACATAAAAAATATACAGACAATAGCTTATTTTATCTAAACTATAAATTAATCTATTTAAGTTTTAAATCATGGTAACACCTAGAAAAATGTTATTTTTGAAATACAGGCATATTATCTAAGAAATTATCCTTATTGTTATAACCTATTGTGAATAGCACAGGAAATTTCTGTCAAAGTAACTTCCACAACTTTAGGTCACATTAATAAAAACTCAAGTGTGTTCCCACTAGTTAACTGTAATACACAAAGAGCTTGAACATGAGGTAAAAAACACCTGAAGATCACAACAATATTTATTGCAATGGGAAAACTCACCGTAGAAGATTTACAGAACCCTCTGTGCTGAGAGAGTGTTCCGGTACAGTCTCTCTGAAGTCAAATCTCAAAACTTCCTGGGGATCAGAGAGTGACTTGCAAGGATATTCCCACAGAGGGTGAGGTTCTGCTTCCCTGGATTCTCTAAAATTCATAGAATTCTGAAAAAATAAGGTAATAAAACTACCTGAAAACAATCCAAAGGCAAACAGTCCTTGCTTTCATGTTAATTATGTGTCCTGAACCCAGAGTATCTAAGCAATAAAGCTGCAAGAGGACAGGACTACACTTCCTGGGCACGAAGGAAAATACCTACTACATACATGAAGTAATTGCTATGACTACAGTCCTCAGCAGTGAAACAGAAACAGGCACTGTCAAAACACAATGCATTTAACTTTTCTTCTCCCTTGAGATGAATTCTACTCTAGAACTGCTTGTACTCCTCCACAATGACTATAAAGGCAATCTAAATGGCTAACTCAAGGATATTGACAATACAGCTCTAGAAATTGATACAAATAAATCTCACCCTTCCTATCTATTTCTCGGAAGTCAAAAAGCCTTCTCTTTCAAAGCCTTTCTCCTTTTCTCTTTTGCCCCTCTCAGGGCAAGTAAGGGCAGCAGGATTCATCTGTGAACAACTCCCAGATGACTTTATTCCAAGCTCAGAATAAAATCCGGAGAACGGTATTTTTCTTTTTGAATGAACAGAATTCTTTTCAAACAGTGCAAAGTACTTGAGAGCCTGACAAATGAGAAGAAACATACAACCCCAAAACCCACCCACTGTTTTGCAAGAACTAAATAGCTACCATTATCTATGAAAAACTAAAATGACAGTGTTCTGAGTAACATACAAGTTTTTCAACAGTCACTAAATACTTTTTTAAACCAACGTGAGTTTTGTTCTGTTTTGCTGAGACTTATGCTAAAACTATTTTCAGTCTTCTTACTTTAATCATATCATCCAGAGTCTGGACATCAAAACCTTCACAGGTGCCACAGGGACTCCGGATTCTCCATAAGTCCTAAAAAAGAAAACGGGAATTTGTTTGGCTTTATTAAAGGAAATAGGAAATCTTAAAATAATTTTAGCCGTAGATCAGACATTTGATAACAAGCCAGAAAAAGACTCTTTCCTATCTCTACATTCCTCAACCACTAGAACGACTGCAAGAATCAGAAGATACTGTACTCTGGGGCAATGTTTTGCAAGTCAGTTAATTCTTTAGCCACTGTTTCCAATTCCTCTAAAGAATGTGCCACATTTCCTACCATCTCTATGCGTAGTTTACTTTAGAGTAGGTATGGACTTGCCAAGACTAAACCCCTTTCCCATTTCCACTACCCAGCACAGGCAAGCTCTCCCAGTTGTATCCAACATTTTACAGCTTATTAGACTACCACAGCTCCCTTTAGCACTCCAAAGATTAGCAACATCATTTTAGGCACTTCATACTATGCTTCTCACGTAGCAATCCACTGGACAGACAATGATTCAGTTCAACTTTTGCCTTTCCTTAGGCTGCATTAATAGTCTCTTAATGGAAGAAGAACATTCCCTAGCTGTGGATATACACATCTTATTCCCTGTTCATTGTTGCACTTACCAACCTCAAATGTTCCTGCTTTACAAGATGGCAGCAGGACTACTATAAATTTAAATAAATGCTGCTATCATTTATGTCTGAATACAGCACGAACTAGAGTGACTACGAAGACCCTCTGAGTGGTACACCCCATAGAACTATGAAATCAGATAGGTAGCATCCTGCTACCTAGATGCTATTATGGACTAAAAAAGTTTACGACAGAAGTAACTTCATAATTTTTTTTCTCCTGATCCAGCTTTTGCGAATTGCTTAACTATAATGATATATCCCTATTCTGATAAGATGGAACATCCTACAGAACCAGTTCTGCAGAACACCTTACAACACTATGTCTGTTTCTTCTGTCTAACCAAGAACTGGTAGATGTTATTTTAAAAACCTCACAGATTCTAGTCTTTGAGTCTAGATTCTCCATTGAACAAAGAAGAAAATGTAAAACTAAAGCAACAGCTTTTCGAATAGCTTAATGGAACAAAACACAAGTTAAACGTTCTATCAAAATAGCTACATGGAATCATCTCTGAACACAACTCTACATAAAAGTTTAAAACTGAGGTTCAGGTGACATGATTGTTACTCTACATTCTGATAACAGAGTGCTGATAATCTTAAATCATCGCTCTGTATGCTTCAGTTCCCTCATCCAGAACATGAAGAGAATAATGCTTACTTCCTTTACGAAATCCTTTGAGTTCTAAGGAAGTAAATCCTCTAGATAAGAGTATGGAATTCAGATTAACTGCTTATTTCAATCTGATTACTATTAGTCTTAAACATCCACTTCCTATTACAAGATTCAGATTTACATTATTTACTCAGTATATATGCAGTGTATCCAACTAGTCCCAGAGAGAAAAAAAAATACATATTTTCACGTGCACAAATCAAAGGCAGAGGAGAACAAGGTTAAAGAGCATTTGAATAAGGAAACTGTTAAGGGAGAAAAGGCTTGGGCACAAAACTACAGCTGGTGAACCAGAAGGAAGATATTTTTAAGATTTTTAACAGATAAATTGAAGGTCATGTTTATGTGAAAATACTTTATAGGCATTACTTCATTTATAGATATGTATATTTTAGTTACACAATTTCAGACTAAAGAATTCCCTCACTACTGAAGCTACTGAAGAAAAACTTTGCATATTAATTATGAAAGTACTTATTTAATTTCTATTGTCATTGTAGGTGAACTCTACACAATCTTTGTCAACCAAGTCCTTAATAAGAGCAAAAAGTTTATACCTTTGTACAATTCTGTACAAACATTACTTTTTCAAGTATTGTTACGATGTGACCCCTATTGTGCTCAAATTTAGAACTGTGCACAGCCTCAAGTGGTTAAAAAAAAAGAGCATGCAATTATGAATCCTGCCTACAGTCTTATACTCAAAAAGCATAATTTTAAAACCCGTTATTTTGCAGAATATCTTAGTTTATAAATAAGCACAATTCTCACATGCTCCAGCAATCTCTCTCTAATCTAAAGAAATACTTTAAAACATTCAGCCCTTTCACTTAAAATGCTAAAATTATTTGTGTCAATTTTCTGACTAGAGATGGCTGAAATAGCAGAACTCGCCTTCAAGATGTGAAATATTCTTTTCTCAGGGGTTAAGTGCAAAACACAAAGTGGACAGTATTAAGATGAGATAAACGTGTTAAAAAATCCTGGAAGAGTACTCAATTCTAAGTGAGTTTGTGTAAATATCAAATGTCTAGTTTTAAACAATCTCACCTGAAACTCCACAATCATCATGTGCAAAGCAGCAGACTGAGGTAGGACAGCGACATTGCTGGCAAGGTGACTGGTCACAGCTGTCCTAGCGTACCAGAAATACAGGTTATGCCACGGCAACAAACTCGTAGTAAAAAACGGCTCTCCCACAAGTACAGAAATCTTGGCAAAGAAAGGAGATAAAAAGCACTACAATAAAGAACAACTTGATAACACAGGCTGTTTATAACTTCAGCAGTTGACAATGCAATATAGCAAGTTAAGTCATCTACATAAAAGCTTCTACTGCTCCCTAAGGATTTAATTACTGCACACTGCACGTACTACACAGCAGACATCTTTTTGTGGTTTTAGTTAGCAAATTTTAAAATTAATTTTCCTGCAACAAAGTTTGAGAGAAAACACTACAGTTTTTAGGTTGGAAGGCTTTGTAATAAGAGTAATAGAATTTTGACATTTTTAATTTAAGGATGTTAGTACTTCCAAATAGACCGCAATCTTCTGAGTGGCTTGTAAAAGAAGAGCTACAGCCTAGCAGCACTTATGCAGTAAAACCAGTTTAACTCCTGTTACAACCGGTGTAGACTACGCAGGAAGGCAAAGTCATACCCCTTCAAAAACAAAGCAAAAACCCTCCTACAATCTTTACACTACGCCTCATTTAGTTTCACTGAGACAAGGTCTGAACCATGTAATCATTACGCTTTATGTGAACTGGGATATAATGGGATTCATTGTGCTTATGGCACAGTAGGAAAGCAAAATTCATTTTCACCTTCCGCTTCCCACCACCCCACTGAAACTCAGTATTGGACAACTGTAACATACCTTTTTATCTTCCAAATGAGAAGACATCAGCAACTCGGGACGTGTTTCTATTATTTTAATTTTGTCTTCAAGATGATTTGCTTTAAAAAACTAAAAAAAGTAGCATGCTCTTTATCAAAAGCTACAGTTGAGACTCAAACCCATACCAAAACAATAATTTTATTAAAAATAAACAAAAAAAAATTAGCCAAAATAAATTTTTAAAAAATTTTCTACTATAACAAGTCTATTCTTGAAGGGTCCATGAACTTAGAGACCATGTCACACCTAGTGACTAAAGCACATGGCCTACATATTCTTTGAATTACATACATAAAAAGGCAGATAACACAAAAGTTGCCTCACCTTCACTCACTTGTAGTTTGAAGGACATTGTAAGGACAGTCAAGAAAGATAAAAACTACTTCAACAATGAATAGACTGTGTATTTGGCTTCTGTTTGAAACCAGGTTTGCGTCCTAATTTGCCTACTGTTCGTGTTTTTGTACTCCTAAAGCCACAAGCTGAGACAGACCTTTTTCAAATATATTTTGTCAACTGGAACAGACAGTCCAACAGTGACTTCAGGAAGCTGCTTCCAGTACCTTCTTAGACATTAGCTGCCTCTCCTGACCAGCCTCTGCTCCACTCGCAGGGCCTTCTGTGCTCTACCCCAAGGAAGCAGCTGAAACTTCGCTTGCAGTAAAGACCCACGGCCTACTGTCTCCTAAGAGCCAAACAGCAGAGCAGGCATTCCCAGCTGGAAGGGAGAACAGCTAGAGGCTGCCGCCTTCCTGGTAAGACTGATGCAAGCTACAGGATACTCTCACATTCCACTAATGCTCAGAAACAAACAGCTTGGCCTTTATCACCAATGCAATCAGGGCAGCAGAGCAGCAGCTCAAGCAGAGGAGCCAACAGGCACCTGCAAGGAGAGATCAAGCACTGGCAACCATAATTCCCTCTGCTCAGCTCAACTGTCCCAGTGACCTATGCGGCTTGTGGCTAAAGCTATGAGACTGGAGGTATCTCCAGTGGGATGTACTCCTCCAAGTATCTGCATAAAGCTCTGTACAATTACCAGGAAAAAATAAGAACAACTCCTCCCCCCAACATATCCCACCCTCCCACAGTCTTGTCAAACTATATGATCAAATACATTAATTAAACTGAATTAATCTCCAAGACTGATGCAAGGACAATCAAAGGTATCAACTGTGGCCTTAGAAATGCCACGAGTTCATTTACTGCTTTAACAGAAAACTGAATACTCACTTTTTTCATGACAGAACAGGACACAGCAGAGTTTTCTAAGGTAAACACCTAAAGAAAATATGCAACAGTTAGCCAACTAGCTTTATAATTTTTAATTAAAAGAATATGTAAAGGAACAATGAAGGAACTATTTTGATGCCCTAGTGAACATAGTTCATAAGAACCATGCATCTTTTCCACAGCCCACTGTCATGTACCTTTTTAAAAACAAAGACACTCTTAATAACTACAGGCTAACACGTTAAATAATGTTGTTTTCACAGCCAGACAAGAAAAAAACCCAGCAGAATGCAAATACTTATTTTCCATTTTTAAGATGCACGTAGCATGTTGACATTTGCTCTAGGCATGTATTTACTCCTGAACAAATGCAAGCATATTGCCAGTGTCCTGAACCAACCTCCAGTAGTGCCCACTCCTTGTAAGCATTGTTTAACATGATCTATGTCTGCTGGAAAGAGCTCAGATATGCAGTGCAGCACATCAGCCTTTTGAAGTAAGAAAAAAATCAGGTTTTATTCAAAACAGGTGAACAGTTAAGCAATACGCTGCTACAGGGCCAGCAAAATATTACAGAAATCTCTGTCTGCCATGGTTATCTGTGACTACCACTACTAAAGACAAAAATTCAGGGACCATGGATCACCAGTTTAACTCAGCATGTTTATTTATTTCTATGAATTGCCTAGCATCTTCCTCAGGATTATATTACATTACAACATTCCCAGATATTCAGTTCAACTATAATAGATTTCACTTTGAAGAGCCCCATGAGAGAACACCTCAAGGAAGATATATACATAAGTGAGACAGCCAGGCAGCACTCAGCTCTCATTTACACACTGACTCAGTATTCTTACTGCTCCCTATCTTGCTATTACAGACCTTCCATTTCAGACTAGATAATAAATGTAATTATGGAATTGCAAACATAAAAGAAGAAAAAAAAATTGCCAGATATTTAGGTCAGTAGAAAGAGTATTTCCAAAAGCACCAAGATACAAGATGGCAAACAGGAATTGGTGGGGAATGAGGAACACCACTTCATTCAAGGCGACACAATGCTAAACATCAAAACTGGCAATTATTATCTCCCCAGAATTCAGCTTGATCAGAGATGAACTTAACCTCCACTTCAGCACAATGGGAGCCTCATTCTCACTTGTCATGGAAGAGGCACTGGAAATAATTAAATAATGGGCTGGAAATGCTGAACTATATGAGAACTAAAAATAGCTAAAACACAAAGATCAGAAAAACAGGAAGTACTGTACCCGCTTTGCTCCAAGATAGTGAGCCAGCACAGGCAGCAGACTGCCATCACTGATACAAAGGCAAATGCTATCTGTTTTCAGAACCTGCAGACAATAAAGTCATTGTTATTCCTATTCCAGATGAAAAAGTTTTCCAATTCTAGACATTGTGGTGGCATTTTTTCCCATTTTATACAGCTCCATGTCAAATAAAGACTGTGAGACACAGTGATTAATGTGACCACTTCAAGCAGAATAAAAAAGAAATAAGAAATGTAAGAAATGTTCATATAACTCCCTTGGTTTAGGCTAGAAAAAGTTTGCACAAAAATACATCAGGTGTCTTTATTCAACTACCCATACTCCTTCTAACAAACACACAGCACTGCTACAAATTCCTATGCAAAAATGGCTGCTTACAATTTAAAAAAAGTAACACCAAAGTTTTCATGACAAAATATAACTTACACCTGCTGATGAAAATAAAATATACTTTGTGAACAAAGTTCTTTAGCAAGGGAGAAACAAATTCCATAATTATTGCAAATAAAACAATACATGCATCTATCACAGAAGCAAAAAATACCTACAGGCAACATGCACTCACTTTCATCAAAGACTTGATGTACTGGCGTGTTCGGTTCTGATCATTTAATTCCCCAAATCGTGGTCTATTCCAAAGAAGATGAGCCTGACACCAACAAACAGGACTCTCAACACAAACATCTGCTTTATTCTCCTCTTCACCTCTGGAAAAAAATTTCAATGAAGTACTAACTACAGCATCAGCAACATGTTTTCAGAGACAGGTACATTTATGCTTTTTAGCTAGCATGAACATTAATGCATATGGATTCCATTGTTACTTGTTCAAATTTACTAGTTCTCCAGTTCTACATTTTCGTAGCTTCGCACTTCCAAATGAAAAGAAGAGAAAGGGCCAGTTTTCACCTTTTTTAAAAAGACAAAACTTAGAACCTCCCAAACTTTCACACTAACTATGATGGTTAGGTATTTTAGGCTTTGATCTATTAGAAAGAAGTTCCTTCTTTGCATTCCCAAGTAAGAAAGGCACATAATGGAGACAGAATGGCCATCATTTCACTCATCTCTCAGCTAAGCTGTATTTTAGAACTTCTAGGAACCAACCACAAGCGTTTTTTGCTTCTCTGTCACAGAATGCCACCATGTATAAGGCAGGAGCCTGCAGTCCAAACCTCAACTGTGTTTTTATGCATGTTTTTTTTTCCACCTGTGCACTGCCCATAAAATGGCTTTTAACAATTTTCTAATTTCTAGGTTCCTATCTTGCTTTTCTACAAAATAGTTGCACTAAGAGCACCAAATATGCTTGGAATAAAATACCACCCCCCTTTTCATACACATGTATCGTTACCTGGCTTTCTGCAGCTTATACCACAAAGAATATTCATCACGACAGGCAGTCAGGTACACCTTCTCACCCTTGAGAACTGGCTCCTCATTTGGAAGAAAATACACACACTGCATCCAGTGATCTCTCCACTGAAAAGGGTTGATAAACAAAACCTTAGGATTAACTCATAAATAGGAAATGGAAAGTAAACAAATAGCAGGAAAACAATTAGGAAGTACAGGCACAACTTTGAAGCACTGATCTATGACTAGTTGCAAGAATCTTGTTCACGTTAGCAAGGCTGAATAGACTAACACCATATATTGAATAAACGTACTTTATATAGACTTCTTACAACAGAATAAGCCGGAGACCACTGGCTTGCCGTCTAGCTAAGCTTGTGTTTTAATCAAATGAAAAACAAATTCAAAATACACTTTGCATTTATTTATGCTGTTTCATCTGCGTTAGAAACCTGTATTGAACTGCTGACAGGGACCTGTGGCTGGAGCCTCACACATCAAAAAAAGGTCACTTAGTGTCACTCTGATATGACAGCACAACTATTTTGTGTTTCAAAAAGCTATTTTCTGCATTGCAAATATTCCAAGGTGACTGGTCATTCTATGCTGACTGAATGCCCTGAAGCTTCATAGTTTCAAATTTTATTCTCAAACATGGTAAGTGCAAACGATCATTTTGTAGCTTCCCTTTGACTAGGTTAAACCTTCTAGCAAATACATTCATATAAAAACACAGGAATCTGATTTAACAGTGATCTCCTTTTCCTCTAATTATCCAGGATCAACCCAGTGTTTTCCCACACCAGCCTTTTTTATGGGAGTATAACTACATCACCATAAACTTAACACTTATTTTGAAATTCAGTAGAGGAACTACGTGGAAACAAACTACACACTAATAATTTTGACCAGGCATAGAGACTAGCTAAGGAAAAATATTTTGAAATCTTTATTTCTTGAAAGTAAAAGAAAGAAAATAAAAATATCTGGAAGACAGCTTCAGTTTTTAAGCTTTACATGAAAACGTTTAAGTTTTACATTAAAAAAAACCTAAAATGGGTACATACTATAGTTAATATTTCTATGATTTGCTTATTTAGCATCTTCTAATACATAAAACATCAGCAAAGCTCCTACACAGTTGAAGGGAAAGCTCCTTAAAACACCCAATATGGCCTTTACCCAAAATAATTACCGATAGTCATCTGACAAGAGCATCTGAAGGCTCAGGATTTTACCTGGAAAGCAGAAGTGGATTTGACCCAGTATGGAGCCATTGTGCAATTTATCATCCCAGAGGGGTCCATGTCAATATCCCACCAGGAAAGTACGATTTGCGCCTTGCCAGATTTTACAGGCTCCAGCTGCACTCTACAGGAGGTAGAGGCACTCCTTACTGGCTTACTGAAATCCACACTGCAGAGAAGCAAGAAAATTATAAAAAGCACTCTTTAGAAATTCTCACTAGCTTCCTAAGCTGTATACACAACTTATATAAAAGGCATAGCAGGAAAATTTTCTTTTTAAAGAAACAATGTCCACCTTACCTGAACACTGTCACCACATCACTAAGGACAGTGAAGTCACTTGAAGGCATCTGGTTCAGCTGGATATCACAAACAGAAGGAACACCTGGACAGTTCTCCATTTCTGAAGGGGAGACAATAATTTTTTCACCGTCTTCTGCTTCGACATGAACAGGAAACAGTTTGTTCCAGGACCACATTCTTTTGGATTCCACTAATTGGACATACACTGTTGCCCTGTGAGGCACTGCCTCACATCCTTCCTGAGTGTTCAAAACAAAGGGTAGATGCTTTCAACAAGTATGACTTATTAACATGCATGAGAATTAAATAAATTGAAATGTGAACCAATTTAAAGTGAAGTTGGACTGGGAGCTTTGAAATCTTAAACACAAATTATTTCAGAGACTTCTGTAACATCAGAGCACTTTGTCTCTCCATCTGTGACAAACAATATACATATCTATCCTGTTCAGTGTGGTTCAGCAAGGCCAAATTGCTTTTTAAGTAATGCAATTATTTACATGCAACATTATCAGTTTACTAGCCTCAGTTAAACTTGCATTTCCATTCTCATTCTGAAATAAGTGATCTTGAGCTTCTCAAGGCAGATAACTACTAGGCTATCAACATTAAAACAGTTTCTGATTGCAATGAGTAAATAAGAAAAATAATGCCTCAAATATTTATGCAATGACAACTTTGTACCCATGTTTAAAGAGTAGAAAATATATAAGCTGTTCTAACTGCAAACTAAGAGCTAACTCTGAAGTCCAAGAATATTGCTTTCATAAAAAAAGACAAATTAAAATTCAGAGTTATATATGGAGAGCAGTAAAAAGTTATGGAGTCTTTAGATGTAAAACTGGTGAATCGAAACCTAGAAACCTAAATAAAGTTTTGCCACCCACATTTTAATTAAAGGAAGAAATTATAAAGGGTAAAAGAGAAAGCCCTAAAATTATACCTATAGAGTCTATGTTAAAAAACCTGGATATTAATTTGATTATGTTTGAAAGTACTTCCGCAGGCAAAAAGCATGCAGATTAGCAAGAGGTCCTTAGGAGAAAAAAAAAAAAAAAAAAAATGAACCAATGCCTGGGAAGTGAAGCCCATCAAATTTGTGAGGAGAACTTCATTTTTTAAAACATCTTGGAAGAAACTGCTAAGGAAAGCTCCAATTTAGAACTGCGTGCCTTTCTGAAAGACACTTGTTAACCAGCAAGTTATTGGCTTTAATACAAAGCAACTATGAATAATTTCATAGCCTGTGATCTACAATATGAACTCCAATAGCTTTATTCTAGGAATGAATCTAGTAAATTATTAACTGAAAAAAAAAATTAGCACAGCACAGCTCTATCCAACTCCAAAAAAAGACAGAAGTTTCTCTAGGGATAAATGTGACACACTATCAACTTCTGTTTTCTTACCTGTACAAGATATTTGTGTGCATGCTCATAGGTTGGTAAAGCTCCTTCTCCTATCAGCTCTGTATCAAATAATTCTGTTACCAAGATGTTTGCACGACATTGCATATCTCCATCTACAAGACACAATTTAATACTGTAATACTAAGACTTTATATGTCTTTCATGAAGATGCTACCCTGAAAACACAAATAACTAAAAAAACCCCCAACTTATTCCTGTTAAGAGAACCTGCTGAAGACTGAAAATTATCTTCCTTCAGAAGTTCACAATGAATTAAAAACATTCAGAAAATAAGAAAAAGACATATTGCTTCATGGTTTTGAGGTACTTGCCAATTTTTTTAACGCTAGCCTAGTTTTCTCACCTGGACCAACTGTGACTGCAGTGGAGTGCTTGTTGATTACCTTGATCTTGTCACGAAAACCGTTCTTCTCCACTATCTTCACAGCAGCATTAGCCATGGGCTTGAAAACCTGTAAATAGCAAGAGTGTAACAAACCAGTAAATTAACATTAGCTTTCAAAAATTAAAGGACACTGACACAGAATGCAGCATATTTTGTTCCACAAAAATTTTAACATCTGCATCTTTTCCTATGTTTGAAGTTCATTAACACACATGACAGCAAGCCTCGCTTCAGACTTTCATAGAGCTCCAATGCCAGTTACAAACTATCAGCTGTCTCCAAAAGCTACTCCAATTTAACTTTTGAAAGACAAGAATACACATTAACAATACTTTAGCATTTACATTAAACAAACTTGCTATTTTCAAAAATAAAGGTATATATGCATCAAAAGAGGCCCCAAGAGACTTGTACACATAAAAGTATCAAGCTTGCATTTCAGAAGCCACAATACAAAACAGCAAATGCATCCACTCCACTGATCATGCAGAAGAACAACTGCACCAAAGTTCTAAAGAGTCTTTGAACACGCATGCAGAAGTATGTGCAAGCTGCAACAAGTGCTTACCTCAATTGCATAGCAGAAATCTGCACCTGCTGAAGCTGCCATCATGGACAGGAGTCCTGTGCCAGTCCCTATGTCTAGAACAACTGCTTTCTCCCCTCTTTCTTTCACTCTGCTCACTGCAGCACGAATACCTTGGTAATATTTCACATTCTGTAGAGAAGAAAAAAAACAAACATCAGCAACTCTTTATCCATTTATACTTTTAATTTTTGTGAAGAAGTCTTGCATTCTTCAACCATGAGTTTATAATTAAAGACCTACAGACATTCTTTATGCTATACAGTCACACGAAAGCCATTTTCAGCAAAAGTAAGTGTTTTTGGAGGCATCAATCCATTTAACGCACATCAATTTTTATCACAATACTCACATGGTCATTCATCAGTCAGCTATTCATAGCACATTCATAATTACAAATACAATATATTTGCTGGAGCAAATAATAAGAAGATCCACATAAGATACTACTGTTTTTCTGATTACTTTTCCCCTGCAGCACCATTCAAATAGTCATACAGTACGCATGACAGCGCAAGAGCTAAAGTATCCTGGATTTAGACCCCTCTCTACATCTACTGGACAACATTCATACATGAGAAGCAACATGTGTTTTGGTTATGTGTCATTAAGTGAGGCTACAAGCATACAGCATTAACAACAGGAAAAAACCCAAATGCTGTCATCTGTCAGCTACAGTATACATATTGAAATATATGCTTATCTTGACTCCATAATTGTCTACTGTAAGACATTCCTTTCCAAATGACTTATCAAGCCTTTCCAAAGAATACACTATCTTTGGACATTTGAGTCAGATGAAAGGCAGCATCTGTTGATCTACAAGCACGTCTGGTATCTTAAAGGATACAAATCTGATCACTTCATCTTTCAGAAAAACCTGTAAAATCATGCAGTGACAGCTATTTAAGAGAAACTAAATGGGTGTTTTCTCACCATTTAAAAGTTTTTTGCTTCTATACTTACTCTGTCTTTATCATGAAGCATATCTGCATAGCGTGACCTACAACAAAAAAAATTCCAGTCAAAATACTGTCTACTGCAAAGCACAACAAAACTGCCAGATCTTACATGGTCTCCTTTGTTTTGTCTTACTACAGCAATTGATCTCTATGGTGCATAAATGCGCAGACAACTGGCATGCTCTGAGGTTCTGACCTGTTTCCCAAATCTAAGGAATAAGGTCATTTCAGTGATCTGGTCATCAGCATATAAATGAACTAATTAACTGCTGGCATATATCCGCTCTTCAGCAATAGACCCAATACGGAGACCCAAGGACAAACAGCTGTTAACTAACAGCTGGGACAGAGGGAGGTTCCTACAGAGCAATACACAGCAATGAAAGACAGCCTACTAATGGTCTATAATTTGTCACCAAGATTTAAATTTCTTTGGTCTCCATTTCTTCATGGGTCACACTACTTAAAAATACCCCAAAATCTAATCTCCCCAACTTCTCTGGTTGTTACATTAAGCTCTTAAAAATATACTACAGGAACAGACAACTGCTAATTATTTGTTGCACTGGAGATTTAAAAGAAATTTAGTCAGTATATTTTGCCACAACTCAGTCACTATGCGCATTAAGACAAGCAACTCAGAAAGCGTTTAAAGAAAATAGAAGGAACCTAGTTGGAGGACACTTGACAAAATTCTCCATTTACTGTTCTGGCCTGTACAACACAGGGCACTGCAACATTTAGACTGTCCTACAGTCTGCTCATTTCCTGTCCTTGGAACTTCTACAGCAATAAAGCCAAAAACTGCCATGAAAACAAATTGGGTTTGTTCTTTTTTGTAGCTTTAGTGGAACAACAAGCTATTTTTTCCAGCATACCTTGCAATCTCCTGATGGTAGTCGTAGTTCTCATCCTCTTCTAACCACTCCATTGCACCAGTGGTTGGATTAGCTCTTCCACAAAAGGTCTTCATGATCAATCTCGATTTGTGTTATTTATGTATTATGTGCAGTTCTGCTGCTTTCTCTTCAGTATAATACTCAAAATGCTGTCTGTGGGAAAAAAACCCCACAAAACTTTCAGTGAAAACAACTATCGCTTTAGCTCTGGATACACAGATATACTTTCCCTATTACACCTGCCTTGGCCAGAAGCACTGGTGGCTGCCTTGCACTTTTTCTGTAAGGATGTTTTAAGCTCATTAATTCACGCCGGAAAAAAAATAATCACCAGTAAACTCTCAAGGAAGCCCTCGGCTTCAGTTGGCGGGGAGAAGCCAACGACCCTCTAGGGGATCCCCACACCCTGTCTACGGAGGGACCTGCCAG